TTGACCCTTCAATATTATTATCAGATGAATATATTGCTACCTTTGCCAGAAGATTTCAGAAGTTTATGAAGAAGTCCAAAGATGGAAGAAGTCCATCTTCCAGCAGAAAGTCATTCCAGAACACCAAGTCCTCTGACAATAGTGGAGAGCTCCTCTGTTACAACTGCAGGCAACCTGGACATTTCAAAGCCAATTGTCCACACCCAAGAGTGTCCAAAAGACAAGGACAAGAAGAAGAAAAGAGATTTGACAACAGTGCTAGAAAAAGGAAAGCACTTATCACAAAACAGCCCGAGAAGGACCCACTCTCAGAAACTGAATCAAGCTCTGACTCTGAGTCAGATAAAGCCTTCCGTTGTGTTGATGTTGAAACAGAAGACTTATGCCTCATGGCACAGTCAAATGATGAGGTATCCTCTTCCTCTACCTTTAGTTTTTCTTCTGTAGGCACAACTTTGATTGATGACCCAATGTTCTCATGTTGTTCTCATGTTTGGGAGAGTTTAGACATATCCAAGCTACTTATTCCTTGGTTAAAGAAGAAAACAGTAAGCTTAAAGTTGAAATCTCTGATCTAAGCAAAGAGTTTGAGGTAAAACTCAATCTCCTAACTAAGGAAAGAGATGAGCTTAAAGCTGAAAATGTCTCTCTTCTTTATAGAATAAGAGAAATCCAGCATCTTGAGATTAGATTCAAAAAGGCTCTGAAGATGAATTCCTCAGAAGAGAACTTTGATGACTCCCGTCCTGGTATTGGATATGTTGCAATAGAATCCAGTGAGCCTTCTGTAAGGTCTGACACCCAAGTTGCTAAGAATGATAAAGTCATAGAGCCACGGACTTCTAGCCCCATTTGTCATGCTAGTACATCTGGCACTAAGGTTATTCATGAGGAAGTTAGACCAGAAAGTAAAACGATAAAGGTTCAACAAAAATAGATTTTTAAGAATAATGAACCTGACAGAAACCCTAACAAGAGAAGGGGTTTTCAGAAAAATAATAATCAAAGTAAAACCTCAACAGACACCCTCATGATAACTATGCCAGAGGTTACTACCAGAAGGGCAAATATCAAGAAAAAGTTAACTTTAGGCAGAAGAGGTTGTCTGGTCAACCTCAGAAGCCCAAAGCTAAACGGCCCTCTGCCCTTGATAGTATATGAGACTTCTTTCCAACAAAGAAGGCTATGCAGAAATATGTAAACAGAAAGCATGAACCTCACAAGTATCTGCCCAAAGTGAATCATACTGTTGTTTACTATGACTACCAGGTGGACAATGGGTACCACCCACCAAGGTTTCCATTGATGAGACCAAAGTGGTACCAACTGTCAAGACTACATCACCCCCCAGGACCCAACATTGCTTGGGTACCTAAATTTTCCTTTTAATTTTGTAGGAATTGTGTGCTGGAGCTATCCCAGAGCAAAAATGGTTCATTGATAGTGGATGCTCCAGGCACATGAGAGGTGACAGAAGTTGCCTAATAGAGTTCCAGAAAAAGAATGGACCTAGAGTTACCTTTAGAGGAGATGATAAAGCAGGACAAACAAAAGGAAAAGGAAAGCTAGTAAGGAACCAGATTGAAATTGAAGATGTCTCATATGTAGAAGGTTTGAAGTTCAACCTTCTAAGTGCTACCCAGTTTTGTGACAAAGGCTATACCGTTGAATTCTCAAAGGATCTCTGTCATGTGAAGCATGAGACTATAAAGGAAGTGGTTCTAACAGCAAGCAGGAAAATGAATATGTATGTTGTTGATTTGTACACAACAAAAGATGGTGTTTGCCTAATAGCCAAAGGCGACTCAAAGCTAAGTTGGGATTGGCACAAGAAACTTAGTCACCTGAATTTCAAAACAATCAACAAACTTGCAAGAGAACACACTGTAGATGGACTACTAAACATGATGTATAAGAAGGAGAACTTGTGCAGTGCATGCCAGAAAGGAAAACAAGTGAAGATTTCCTTCAAACCCATAGTTACGTTGGAGACCTTTCTATTAGTCCTTTAAATCTCAGAAGGTCGTGGACTTAGAAAAATTTTGAGGAACGGGTTGGGAAAAGTTCAAGTTTGATTCATGGACTTGGGCTATTCGGGGATCTTTTGCATGCATACTCAAGTAAGATTTTTTTTCCTTACTCATTCTTAAAAGCTCATATTCTCTTAGGGTACAGAGCACCCTAGAAAATGATGAAATTCAAATCTCAAACAAATACTGAATATCAGCTTGACTCAACGGATTGCGAGAAATTTGCTACCAATATATGGTAAGGCGAAATTGATTACCATTTTACTCGCAAAATTGATTACCATCTTAATTGGAGATATTCTGTTACGCGAACTTCCTTTTGAAGCGCTGAAAGCCCTTCTCAACCTATAAATTCACAGAACGCTCGTCTAGAATTCACACCTTCTCCTCTTCTAAACCCGCATATACTTCGGGGGGGAACTTAAGATTTTCTAGCCTTCTGAGAAATTTCTTCTTGCCTTTCAACCTCATTTTCCCTCATTATGGCAAACTCACAAGACATCTCTTCTGAAGTGAATCTCATGATGAACTCTTTGACAGAGGTCAGGGAGGCTCTCTCCATTCTAATGGAGTGCGTCGACTTTCTCTCCCAGAAGGTTGAGGCTGATCATAAACATCAACAGAGCTCCATAAAAGCTCTTCATTCTGCCACTCTTACACTGACTGATGCAACCAAACAATTGCATCTAATGTTTCTCAATATGGCTGATGCCAAAAAGGGGGAAGAGAACTGAGATGAGAACTAAGAAGGAGAAGAGCACGAAGTAGAAAATAAAGGGGGAACAGACTAGAAGACAAATAGGAGGAGAAATTGTTCACTGAAAAATGTTTAGAGATATTGTTCTCTGTAAAATGTTTATTTAATCCTTCTTATGTCTGTATCTTGACCCAGTGCTCTTAAATAAAAAAATATTGTTTATTTAGTGCAATCATGCTTGTTTTTACGGTTCTTGGAATACTTACTGCTTTCTTATGCATGTCGCCCACCAAGTTTAGAAAGTCACATGGAAATTTCTCCATTTCAATTTATTTAAAAGGTGAATGGCACATCTCTGGAAAGTAGAATAAGTGTTTTGACATCATCAAAAAGGGATAAGAGTGTAAGGAATAAATTGTATTTAGATTTTGATGATGCTAGACTATTTAGGCTTTTAGATCAGAACCCCATTAGAAGATTGTATTAAAAATTTCTACTTGTAAGCATTAGAATAATCGACTGGACAGAAGACCTTCAAGCCCTCTGTTGGACTTCTACTGGACAGAAATGCTCGAGGCTCTCTGAGATTGCCCCTCTATATAAAGCAACAGATGGCCTCACACTTAGAGAATTTCGTTGTTACCTAAGCCGGTTAAACTAACTGGATATACCTTAATGGCTAGGAGCCTCTCAACGGGAAAGATACAGTACGCGCATTAAATGTCCATTTAATGTGCTTCACACGTTGAGATATTTAAAAGCTGATGATTGACCAAAGATCCAAAAAGAATATTTTGTATGCGCCCAAAAATAGCAAGTCGTCTGCTTTTGGAACCAACCGGCCAAATCTACAGTACGAGCATTTAATGAAGCTGTCTTCTACACTCCAACGGGAAGACAACTCTCGGTATATAAGATACACTTTGAAGAACTACCGAGATAACTTTTGCTCTCTACAATTTTCAAGCTTTCTTGAGATATGAACTTCATCTTCCTCAACAAGAAACGCTTACGTTGGAAAAGATATTTTTTCCACATCTACCATATCCAATAAGAGCAAAGTTCCAGTTCTTCAACACTTCAAAAGCCTCATCTACATATCTTTTGTAACGAAGCCACGTTGGAGAAATCTATTTTTATCAAAACAATCTTCTTGCAAAAGAAGGGTGTCCAAGTAACCGGAGTAGTGAAGTGGGTATACTTCAAGGAAGCTCAGTGAAAGGACCAGTCTTAAAGGAAGCCAAGAAGTGCATCCCAGGAGACATCTACACTTGAAGAAGACGTGGAGAGCTTCTTAAGTGCTAGGACTAAGGCTGTGTAATTGTGACTTTTACAAGCTTAGTGGAACAGTGGACTAGAGGAAAGAGTTGTTCCTTGAACCACTGTAAAAATCCTCTGTGTCACTTACTTACTGCTTTTAATACTTGTATTTATCTCAAACTGCTTAACTCCATAGACTTGGTCTTTGTGCTCAGCAGAACAAGTCTTAAGAGTTAACAGAAGGCCTATTGTCTTTGCACCTCTGTGAGGCTAACCAGACAGAACCCCTACCAAAAGACCATTCGTTCTCAGTCTGTTCTTCAACAGAACAGGCTATTTTGTTAACCTTGGTACTTAGCTTGAAAAAGTAAAGAAAGAAAAATTTTAGGGAGGAAAATGAAGCATGGGACTATTTTGAGCAAATTGGTGAAAGATGTGACTATTTATGTAAGGTTTTCAAAGAAAAGACAAAAAATCTGATATATTAGGTCATCAACCGGCCAAGGTTCAATGAAAGAAGATGTGGTGCAAAAGTGATATAGTGGTTTGTATGAATGTGTTGTGTCCGTACATTTACTCTAACTCTGTATTGTCGAGACTTATTGGCTCGTTATAGAAGTTAGTTAAGTATTTTACTTACATGTTTATATATGTAAATGTTGAGGACTTTGTTGATTATTAAATAATTTGTGTCTCGATTAAGAAAAGTGTTTGGTGTACACATTTTTGTGTACACCTTTCGTACACTTATCTTTTTTTATACGCACACAGAATTGTTTGTCCACAGACGACTCTAAAGAGTCGTGTGTGGACAGACTATTCTGTGTGCACGAGAGTACGAGACAGACGAATGTACGTGAAGTTTTATACTGCCTCCGTCCCGTATTTAAGTATTCACTTTGACTTCACATGATTTTAGGAAGAAAAATAACTGGCATTGACTTTATCGTTATACCCCTAGCAAAACAGTTAAAATGGGGGTAAACTAAAATGGGGGGACACGGTTAAAAAGCCAAAAGTGGAGCATGCTACTGACATTCATACAATTATAGACATTCTGTTGTGACCCAAGACAGAATATTACCAATAAAAGGAAGTTCGCAACAATACAACCAAGTTTTTAAGTCACTAAACATGGAAATAATAAAATCTGGGGTATGGAAAAGAACTTCAAATGGAAAGTTATTCCTTTTTGCAATCCTCTTCTCTTACTCCTCTTGCTTCCTCTTCTGAAATCTCTTATACTCCCTTTGATCTTAATCCCCTACCTATACAAGATGGCAGGCATGAGCTTCTTCAAATTGTACCTGCAGAAGAGATCACACAACAAGTAGTCAACCACAAAAGACAGACAATGGTGAAGCACAAACACAACCACGGCTGGAGTTAACTACACAAAAGAGAAGCAGATTAGAGGTACTATTAAGTCAAGCAACCGATGGAAAACTTAATAGGGGCGTCATAACAAATTTGGCGCACAAGAGATTGGACATTGGTAGATGGGTTAGTTTATTTCAAGTCTGAACTATATCTAATGGATTCCTTCGCCATTATTTCGCCCATGAAGGGGTGGAAAAGACGTTGCAGTGTCTCCGTTGGGAGTTTTTCTGACCTAGCAAAAAATCAAGCGTGGCAGCATTTATTCAGTATTGTCAGACTGTCAGCAACATAAATGGTTGAACTTGCAGCCGGCAGGGCTCCTTTAATCAATCCCGGTTCCACAACACATTTGGGCAGATATATCAATGGATTTTTTAGAAGGGTTGTGATGTGTGTTTTCTCGCACATAAAAAGATTGTAATATAGTGGTGTAAGTACGAGTATCATCTCCACAGGGACGGACAAAAGGGAATCAAAGATTAACTAAATTCAGTGATTAAAAAGAAATAAATAAAAATGTGTCGTGCGAGATTGGTTGCTGGAAAATAAAAATGCGAATAAAACGATTAAACTAGGGGGTTCTTTCTAAGTAATGACGAAGGGAACAGGGATTGATTCCGGGGTAACCAGATTTCTGGCAGATCAGGCCTAATTACATGAAATTAATTTAATTGAGTCTAGCTAATCATTACTAAGTTCTTACCGCTCTCGCGGCGTAGAGTACAATAATTTAGGGGACCAGGCTGATCTCTCATGCGACAGGATCCTAAATTATTGCCAAGACGAGCGAGCTTACGGCCCCTTAATCGTTACTAATCTCTTAGCGAACGATTAAGTGTGTGTGAATGTTTCCTAGAACAAATTAGATCTCTCTTAATTTATTCTACATGCAATTGTAATTCTAGTCGCGATTCTAGGTTACAAAAGATATCAATTAAATTATTCAAACACAAATTAAACGGCATTCATGCAATTATTAAACCGAAAAGAATCTAGCCATACATCATGATTAACCCCTTCATCAATCCCAAATCCCTAATTAAAACTACTCACAATTCATAATTGAAGAATCAATAGAATTGGAATAAAAAGAATTAATTGTCATAAATTAAAAAGATGAAACTTACAAAGAATCCCAAAAGATTGATGAACAAGGCTGAAAAGCCCTCTAAAATTCGTGCTAGGCACTCTCTCTAAGCTCCCCCCTTAAAAACGGGGGTTTACAGGCTGTTTAAATAGAAAAATCGGGTGAAATTTGAGCTGAATTAGGATTTTCGGAGCCAGACACGATGCCAGACACGATCGTGCCTTCGATCGTGCCTTCGATCGTGCCTCCGGAGCAAAAACGCGCATTTTGGGCAGGCACGATCGTGCCTCCCTCCAGGCACGATCGTGCCTGGCTGGCAGTAACTCCGCGGTGCTTTTCTCTTCAGGCACGATCGTGTTTGACTTTGAGGGCACGGTCGTGCCTACTTGACTTCCGAATTTGACACAACGTCCTTCATGAAAGTTGTAGATACTGAAGTCCTCTATCCACCCCAATTTGCCGAATGTGATTTGAATCATCCAATCAAGAGATATGATCAAAACGGTGGAAGGTGTCTTTCTGAAATCGCAGCAGAGATCATCTGACTTCATCGTCTGTTTTCACCTTCTTCCTCTCAGATTCTCGCAAAGGTGTCTTCATATGATTTGTAGACCTTGAAGTTGGCTTTCCTATGGAACTTGAATCGTGTACATTGGATGTTTCTACAAAGAGATATGCTTGAACGATTGACAGAAGGTCATACTGATCGTCGTTTTCAAGCTTCATTCATCTTCTTTTGACCCCGTAGCCAATCCTAGACCTCTTTTTCCTTCAAATCTTCATCGTGAATCTTCCGGTGACCTCCAAAGCTATCAAATCATTCTCAAATGCTTCTCAAATCATCCCGATTGTTCCTCAAGTGCCGATACCGGGCTCAAATTCCCTGATTTTGACTAAAAACAACACAAAACTCGAACCAACGCCCGGTAAACATAACTTGAGCTAAAATTGAGACTTGTAACACCTTAAAGCTAGGAAAATCATCAAAAGCCGATCTCAACACGCATCAAATGCGTGTCTAAATAAGGACTTATCAGGTTGTCTAAGGTGAAAGACAAGAGAGTGATATTGGTGGTTGTTGATCGTCTTTCCAAAGGAGCGCAGTTTCTTCCATTAGTGATAGCCGTTATATTTACTTGTGTTTAACATAAGTATTTATAAGTGTTCGTTGAAGAAAAGAAGAGAAATCGGGCAAATACCTCCAGAATGAGAGCTAGAGCATAAAATATTGCGATGAACGGCGTTTTAGACCAAGAGAATGGCGTTCTGCCCATAATCTGAGTATAACTTATTGTATAGAACTCTAAATCACTCGATTCGAATTTCATGTGAATGGTAACTCAATAAGGTACAAATGTTAAGAAGACGTCATGGCCAGAATATGAAAGGAACAAGACTCAATCAACCGATAAAGTTAGATGTTTCTGGTGCGATTTCAGGATGCATACCTCTCAATGTTTTATCTATAACTTTTGATTGGATGATTAAAATAACTTCGTTCAAGTTTTGGTGGATAGAAGACTTCATTAGCTACAACTTTGGTGAAGGGCTCATGTCCAAATTCGTAGCGGAACATCCCCAAAATCTCAGGACAAAATCGGCGCCGGAATTTCACCAAACCAGCGCCGGTTGCATTTAATCTGCCATTTTCCCGGCTGGCCGAAGTATAACCGGCGCCGGTTTTCCCCTATAACCGGCGCCGGTTTTCCCCTATAACCGGTGCCGGTTATGGTGTTGTTCAGTATAGCCAGCCCGGAAGTAATACCGGCGTCAGTCAAGCCTAAAACCGGCGCCGGTTAAGCCCGAATCTGCATAAAACACAAAGACATGCAGCCATATTTTGATGGGAAAACTCCACTTTCCTTATGATCTGATCAAATATATCTTCCATGCCTGATTGTTGGGCTTGAATAGACTAAAAGATGCCAATCTTTAGCCTATATAAAGCCCTCAATTCATCAAACAAGATCATCATTCCATTCTTGAAGATTAAATTTCAGTTTTTATATTTTTCTTTTTGCATTCTCTTGAAGTGTTGGAGAAGAAGCCATTTCTCTCCTCTACAATTGGTTCTAGGTATTATTTCTTGTATGTTATTGTATTTCATCGTTCTTAGTTACACTTTTGTAATTAGTATGAGCTGAAGGAGCTAAGTTCTTAGCTAAGGTTAGGGATGAACTTCTATGCCCACTAGGTGTTTGATAAAAGTTCTAAACCAATAAATTGTGATTTATCCTTTATATTTTGATTGTTTATGACTATGGTGTACAACATAGAAATATGTTAAATTTGGTTTATGCTTGAAATTAACGTTGAAGTCTAAACTATGAACATTAAAGGATAAACATATATATTACCGAGAATAGAAATATATCCGGTATTATATGATACGGGTGTGATGTCTTGATATTCAACGGGGTTTTTGGTAGATGAATGTAATGAAAACCACACTTTCGCTGCCTTAACCGGAGTTGAGAATATATTAGCGACATTTTATTCATAATTATTGGTAAAGAACTAATATTCAAGCCTAATAAAGCATCTAAGTGATTCCCGAAGCCTTAGCCGTTGTTATCATTCATCTTAAATCCAAATTAATTAAAGTTATTTCCTTGAATTAAAAGTGAAAAGCCAAAAATATAAAACACAAATCAAAATCCCTGCACTTTATTCATTTATTTATTTAAAGTCAAATACTCTCGGACTAAATTAAATAACGTTTCCATGTGGATTCGACCCGGTATTTTACCGGAATTTATACTATATCTGCACTTGCACACTTGCAAGTTTAGCCCAGTCAATTAGCACACCCGTTCACGACAATTTTTGTTGCAGGGGTCTTTTTTGTAGAGATATTCCGCTTACATGGACTGCCAGATCTATCATCTCTGACCGGGATAAGATATTTGTGGCTTCGTTTTGGAAAGCACTATTTTGGTTGGCGGGCACTAAATTGGCCTTTTCCACTACCTATCATCCTCAAACCGGTGGTCAAACTGAGGTAGTAAATCGTACTTTGGGAATGTTTTTGCAATGCCTTACAAGTAATTACCCAAAAGAGCGGGTTCGTTGGCTCCCATGGGTGGAATACTGCTACAACACCTCTTACCATACGTCTCTGGGGGATACACCCTTTTGTCTTGTTTATGTTCGTGATCCACCTAAAGTTATCTCATATGTCCCTGGGACGGCACGATTAGAGGGTGTGGGCCATGAGCTTCTTAGCCGGGATCAACTCTTGGCTAAGGCTCGAGAGCGACTAGCTCAAGCCCAAGAATGTATGAAGCTGCAGAATGACAAAACTCATCTCGATCTTTCCTTCCAGGCAGGAGATTGGGACTGGCTACGCATTCATCCTCATAGACAACTCTCCCTAGGATGCGGTAACCATAAACTATCTCCAAAGTTTCATGGACCATTTCAGGTTCAGTCACGAGTTGGAGAAGCAGCATACACCTTGAAATTACCACCAGCGAGCCGCATTCAAGATGTGCTTCATGTCTCTCTTTTAAAGCCACACAAAGAGAACCCACCCACAACCATGGGAACTTTGCCGTTGCTAGTCAATCCCCATGACAAAATTACATTGCTTGCTATTCTCCGCAACCATCTGCATCATGGCTCCTTAGAATTCCTGGTCCAGTGGAAGGGGAAATCAATTGAAGAAGCCTCATGGGAACCCGCAGATACATTTCGGGCCGCGTATCCAGATTTTGAGCTTGAAGACAATCTCCTAGTCAACGAGGAGAGTGATGTTATGGACATGTATTGGGGCCAAAAATATCAAAGGTGCAGGATTGGCCAAATGGGTGATTGGGCCAAAGACATTCAGCCCAATGAGACCACTGAAAGTGGCTGACTTTGGGAGCAAGTTCATGCATTTACTTTACTGCTTTTTAAATCAGTTTAGCAAGTTTCCTAATTCAGTTTTAAGTAAGTTTCTTAATTCGGTTTTAGTAAGTTTCCTAATTCTCTTTTAGGACTCTTGTAAGACCTTTATATATGGTTCCTCAGTTGTTTTAGAGGGGTGTATTTGGCAGAATTAATTGTTGTGTCTTGACAAGGTGGGGCACTGAATTAATTCCAATAAAATCTTTTATTTTCATTCTCTCTCTTGGCTCATCATAGATCCAAAAATTTATTCATCTCACTACTTGAATTCGTTTCCTTTGTCTCGTTCTCGACCTTGGACGTGATCGTGTACGCGCGCTCTTAACATATAACTCAATTATACTCAACTGGTGCATTATATACTTATGGTGTTAGACAATACCTCAATATGGGTACAAGCTTAAAGTCAACATCTTAGGGGTTTTTATGTGGTTGGATTAACATTCACAGTTTCTTGAAATATAAACTAAAGTCTTCGAGTACTGATATAAGAATTGGTTGCTTTGTGATCCTCAACTCCGTTTGTGAGCGTAGTATGTGGTCGGCCTTTACTATGCATCAGTAGTGCAAGTTTTGACACCTTGTTTACTCGACTTTGATTTCAAGAAAAAACTTATGTACATATATATAGCAGATTCATGGTTATCTCTTTAGAGTGCCTTTAAATTTTCTTCCTTGCATCAGTTAAGCTCTTTGTTTAAACTTTTACTGAATATAGACGAAGGTTAGATGATAGTTATACAAAAAGTTACAGGCCAATAAAAAATGCCTCTTTCATAAGCAGCACTTACACAAAAAGCTTATTCTTATTATTGTACTACTAATTTGTTATGTACCCTTAATAAATCTTAACCACTTATCCCAATATATTATCACTTAAAATTATATTGCGCATTTTCTTTTCGCACAACGCGCGTCATATAACTAGTTACAACTATATATTGAACTAAATTGAAGCTCCTGAACCGATATGCTCCTATCCCATTAAAAGTGGTAACCTCCCATCAAACTAGGGAACGGTTGAACTAACCACCCTCATTTCCTCCCTTACAGGTCCGCACCTCTTCCATCGGGGATTACGTTAAATAATTATATCCTTGGTTGCACGTGTATGTGGCATGTTTGACCCGATCACTAGTACTCCTCTTCACTTTAGACAATTCCAATCAATATCAATTATTCAAGCCAATTTGCAGTCTAACAAATAACATTCTATTTTTGTGACACTTATACAGAGTATTTGATGAGTTTATCTTTATTTTGTATCTATCATACCAACCAAAGATAGATTAAATGATTAGGATAGATCGAACAGACACATGCAATGTATATAAATGCACAAACCTGCTAGAAGATGCCAAGTAGGGGTAGGAGCTGCGCGTATAACCTCTGCATGCAGATCAAACATTACATTACTTATGGTAATATACAAGGTTGATTATAACACACAAGCACATATCTGACAAGTGAAAGAAATGAAAATTTGATGCATGCAGTGCATGCCTGTTAGCCAATGCTTGGTAATGTCCTAAAAGTCCTTTGTTGAAGAACTGATTAGCCCCAAGTATGTTTGACGCTAATGTTGATGATGATGATGCTGGTGATGCCGATGGTGATGAAGATGTCGATGAAGACGGAGATGGTCGCTGAGTATTTCTTGTTCGTGGCCTACCCGGCCCCACCCTGGGCTCATATCATTAAAAAGGTTAACGTTATAAAAAAATGTTCAAAAGAGGACTAAATAACAGGTAAATTTCTAAAATATAGAGTACTAATTAAGTATGTTTTTTTCCTTAAAATACAAATGGAGAATTTTTCTATTTAAGGTCAAAACAACAACAACAACAACAACAAAACCTTAGTGCTAAAAGCTGGTTTTGGAGTCGGCTAATGTGAATCAATACATAATATCAGAGCAAAAAATAAAAGAAAGATAAGAAATATAAAAAGATAAGGTATGATAAATAAGAATAAAAAAAATTAATTAAGATAAAGACAAAGATAAAAGTGGTAAGATAAACAGATAAAAAAGATGTGTGTGTGTAGAGTAATCTGTTGGTCAGGAAATTTCTAACCAGAACACCGTCTAGCCTCTTCTTTTTGGGGTGGTTCCCGGTGATACTTTTTGCTGAAATTGTTTGTGCATGTTATTCAACAAGTCGAGTTTATTCATACTAAATTTCAGCTAAAAATTCAATACGGAAGGCAGTCAAATGATTTTTGAAAGATAACTGTGCCATTTGTATACATATAAAACGCAGTTATCTTCTGAGTTTTGAATACTCTATGTGTGTATACATATAGAGTGTTATTAGTACAAGATGTGAACTACAGGTTAACTATAAATTCAAGACTTGAAAGATAAAAATTGTCGATACAAGATAAGAATCAATGAAACTATCAATCAAATACTTAAAATATCAAAAAACAATTATTTCTATCATATATATCTTATTTGTTTCATTGCTAAGTTTTGATAATTGTTTAATAGTTAAATATATTTAAAAAATGTTAAATTAAAAACACCATATTAAATTTTGGATTGATAGTTTTCAAACATTTGCGTCTTATATTGCTAATTTTCATCTTTCTTGTTTTGGATTAATATTCAACCCACATGAGTTGATAAAATTCATTTTTTTTTATGTATGTAAACTTTCTTTCTAGAAAACCTTAGAGACATTCATTAAAATGGAAATAATTTATTTCACCAGCTGGCCAACTCCACACTAAAAGTCTCCAACAACCACTAAAAATTGTAGTGAAAACTTTAGAGTGAAATCAAGCGGATGTTAATTTTTTCCATATAGAGACTTTGGGGAGGTTTTTGTTTTTGAAAGGCAACTTTGGGAAGATTTTTTAATTTTGAATGTTAGATTAGGAGAGATTGAAAAATATTTAAAAAATTAATAATTCATCCGTATCACTTTAGTTAACACAGTAAAATTTTCATGTTATTTAAAATCATTATGTACTCATACTGCATATTTATGTAAATGACGATTAAAAAGTTGTAAGTACATATGTACGATAATGTGTAAGAGTTACTAATATAAATAATGTATATTTGGTGTAAATGTGACACAATACATTGTGAATGGTACTATGAATGTTTTAAAAACATTTACTAACTTGTAAGTGTAATGCGCACATGGTACTATTTATTGACACACACCTTTTATGAAGTGGCGGACCGAGTAATTACATTTTGGGTGTTCAAAATTACACATTTTCTCTTTAAAATACTATTAAACAAATTATTACTTTAATTCAGATATACATATTCCTATTGTTTTTTTATTTTTGGGTGTTCATGTGAACACCCTTGCATAAAGGACATCCGTCACTGCTTTTATGTTTTGTGCAAATGATTTTACAAAAAAAATGTGTGTTAAATATAGAATGGTACTAATTTGCACAGAACACCTTTTATGTTCCGTGCAGATGATTTTACACAGAATATAGAATGTGTGTTAAATATGTCATCATTCATTTTTTTTCATCGGTTCATCATTGTTATTTTTATAATCACGTCATCTAATTTCATATGCCCCCCCCCCCCCCCCACACACACAATTATTAATAGCATTATATTACCAGAAGGCAAAGATTATGAAGTCTAAGACTCTAAGATCTTGTATGGTTGAAAGGAGGGTAGGGAAGAGGAGAGTCAAGGAGGGAAGGAAAGGGAAAGGGAAAGAAAGATTTTGATAAAAATTTGTGTTTAGTTGAAGGAATTTAGAGCAGAGTTTAATAAAAAATATTTTCCTAATTTACCTTTATTTGATAAATTATATAAAAATTAGATACATCTCTAACTATTATAAATATTACTCCTAAGGTCATGACTCCTAGCATTATTTTCTTTTTTTGAACTTTTGATTTTTTTACTCTTTTAATTTTCAAATTTTTGAATTTTTATTTTTTATTTTAGAGATTTGCAATTTTGAATCTTTGAGTTTTCAATTTTTGAATTTTTAAGTTTTCAATTTTTGACTTATTAAAATTTTTTATTTTTATTTTTATTTTTAATTTTGTAATATTTTTATTTTTTAAAATTTTTTATTTAGTTTTTAATTTTTTTTTAGTTTTTTATATTTTATTTTTTAATATTTAAATTTTTAAATCTTTTATTGTTAAAGTTTGTATTGTTTTTTTATTTTCAAATTTTTCATTTTTCAATATTTTAATTTTTTATTATAAAATGTTTCAACTTTTTAGTTTTTAAATTTTAATTTTTTTCATTTTGTTGCCAGAAAATATTTTTAAAATTTTTGTTTTTTTAAATTTTAACTTTTTAAAATTTTTTTAATTTTACCTTTTGTTACATTTTTTATATTATTGCGTTGTGTCCATTATTTGGGAGAAAAATGATAAATAGTTTTTCATTATCAACACGTTTCTTCCGAAATACCCCGATTTGGGAGTCGAGAATGGGAGGAAGGGGAGAATTTTGGAAGTGTCTGAGTTTCCTTCCACTCTCTCCTATTTCCTTCAACCAAACATGCATAAATTCTCCACTTCCTTCCCTCCCCTCCAAAACTCTCCAACCAAACATGGCCTAAGGTAGTACGCATTATAGAACTTCATACGGAGTATGAAATGGTGTGTGGAAAATGTAATGGTCAGACTTAACTAATGATGTTAAATAGGGTTTCTAATAAGGAGTTGGGATATGTAGGGGTATATTTTGGGGAATATGTCACATGGAGTATATAAGAGTACATAACAAACACCATCATTATGTAACTGTTATTATGATTTACAATCGTGGAACAATAAAATAAAATATTAGTATATCCACTAGAGTCCACTTACGGTTGTTTAAAAGAAATCAATTTAACAATTTGCATCACTATAAAAGAGTCTTAATTAATTACCGGTGATCAGTTCTTCATACTTCAGCCTTACAACAAATAAATACGAAATATTAGAGATGATTTAAAACTAAAACTAACCTTGAAGTTTGCGGTGTAGTTGACGAAATAGGGTTGTTTTTTCGAGCAACCAAACTGTTCTTTGATCTCTTGCCACTGCCACTGTTGTTATTGTAATTACTACTACTATTTGGAGGCAAACCAGCCGGCGGTGGTGCTAGCTTGATAACTGTGTTACTCTTAGGGCTCTCAAAGGCTATGTTACTTGGTGGCAAAGCCGCTGCAGACGGCGGAGGTAACTCGAAAACTGGATTGCTTCTAGGGCTTTCAAGGACTATGTTACTACTATTATAATTCGGAGGCGGGGGTAACATGAGAACTTGATTATTTGTAGGGCTTTCTCGGACGGCGTTACTATTACTATTATAGTTATAGAAATTGTAACTATTGTTACTACTAATACTAATAGTACTAGGAATGTCATAAGAGCCCGCCGTAATTTGTTGCTGCATCCCCATCGACACGACATAGTTTAAGGAATAATCGTCTCCCTGATGTTGTCTCTCTGAAGTGATCCCACCCATACTATTATTAGTAATGAGCGGCACTAACGGCTCTTGATTTAAGAATGTCTGAGGGGAGGAATCAACGTTAGTCAAAACATGGTCCGGAAAACACGAGATTCCGGATGGCGGCATGTAAAAATACACATCATTGGTCGGCTGATAATCAGTTGTAGTAAAAAAACCAGAGTTGTTGTTTGGCTCTTGAGAAAAGTTTTGTTGGAATTGGAATTCGCTCATCACATTTCCTCCCAGGTTATTATTTTGACCTCCGAAATTGAAATCTCCATTTGAGATGATGATCGGGAGATTGTCTAAATTATAAACGGGGTTGCTGCGGAAAGGTGACATGAAACCTGGAAGATTAAGGTTAGACTGAGATCCCATGTTTCCTCCAATAAGGTCATTATTATCCTGATTCCTGCATCATCAGAACATCAATCTATCACTAGAAAAATATTAGCAACAAATCAGAACTGATTAATTCATTCCATCACTTCATAGATAAGTGGGTTAATTAAAGATCTGGGAATCTAAGAATTGATCAATTTAAAGAGAAGCATAACAAGTTACTCACATCATATATGAGAGAAGAAGATTGTCGTTGTTGATAATCTAAGAAACGGACATTGGAATAATAGAAAAGAAATGATGGCCGGGTTGACTTTAGAAATAAATAGGAATGATTAATGATACCACATTCCAGATTAGGATGTCTATATATATATAGTGTGAATGGTACTAGATGCCCTTTCGATATTAGTCGTTCAGCATTAATTCATACTTAATGCATACCATATCTCGTGAAATTTCAAATTACGATTTTCAAATTCAAAGCCCGGGCATGCATGTATGTTCATCTTTCATTTTCTAATTTTACAACTCATATGTATTTCTAATAGGATTAAATTATATTATATTCAATTACTACATTCATCCCACTAAGATTGATACATGAAGTGGTGATTTGATTATAAGAAAAGTCGGTTTATGTGGTTAGTATCGATAAAATACAGAGGGAGTATTTTTTCTATTCAAGGTCAAAACTAGGGGTGGGAATAGACCAGGCGGCCTGTCAGGGGCCTGTGGTCTGGCCTGCTTAAGGTCTGGCCTGGCCTGTTTAATAATCAAAGTAAGCTTGGGCTTTTCGAAAAGCCCAATTACCTAAAAAGGCCAGGCTTAGCCCAACTCTAAAGCCTATTTAGCCTTTTTTTTTTGCCTATTTAGCCTATTTATATGTGTATAGATATGTTTGTATATATATTTAGTTATATTTATATTTATTTGTATTATTTCTATTATGTTAGTATAATTAACTATAGCAAATTAAGCATAGTAATATTTTTATGAAGCATCATAATATGAGGCAAATAAGCCCACGTACTAACAAAAAAATGTCAAATAAGCCCTTATATAGGAGGTTCTGTCCGGCCGTCGCCATTTGGGGCGGTTCCTGGTGGAATTTTTTTATGACATTTTTTGAGAATCTTATTCATTAAGTCTAGTTACTCATACCAAATTTTAGTTAAAACTTCAATCGGGAAGGCATTCAAATGAATCATTGAAGATAAGTGTGCAGTTAAAAGCATAGTTATCTTCAATAATTAATTTGAATACCTTCCTGATTGAGTTGTTAGCTGAAATTTGGTATGAGTAAACTAGACTTAATGAATAAGATGATAAAAAATCATCAAAAAATTCTAGCGGGAACTGCCCCGAATGGCGACGTCCGGACAGAGCCTCCTATATAAGGGCTTATTTAACCTTTTTTGTTAGTATGTGGGCTTATTTGCCCCCTTTCCCTTATATAAATACACACTTAATGACATACACACTTAATATTAGAATACTGTTTCAATTATATAAAGTGTGTCAAGATTTGAAGTATATAAAAATTTATAAGCTACATAATTAATGTATTATTATAAATTCAAAGCAAACCTAACATATTATTAGACTTTTTCGTGAATATTCTGGGGGGACAAATTTTATATCAGTCAAAGGATTTTTCACTTTTTTTTTGGAACTTTTGATATTTCTTAACAGGCCCACTAAACAAGTTTCAAGCTAGGTCAGACTTTTCAATAGGCCAGGCTCAAGCCGAACAAATAGGCTTGTAACAGGCCAGACTCAGGCCTATTAATTCTAAAACAGGCCCGGCCTGTTTAGGCAAAAGTCTGGCATGACCTATTTCCACCCCTAGTCAAAACACACCAGCGGCAGCGGCAGCGGCAGCGGCGGTGGCAGCAGCAACAACAACAGCATTCATGTGTTCATAATGGTATGTGGAGTAATCTATGAACCATGTGTTCATAATCATGATATGTGATTAACCTATGAACTTTATGTTCATAATGATTGGTGGAGTAATCTTTTTTTTTGGATCCTTTATTAAGGAGACCCTCCAAAAATGGGCACGACTACTGCTGAGATGCCGCCCACGGCGGATCCTCAGCCACTGGGGAATGCATGGAAGAACAAACGTTCTTTCGTTTTGGTGTTATTGGATAAGGCAGATGCAACCCTTACCTCATCATTCCAGACGAAGTACAAGGGTCTGCCAGCGGCTAATTTCTCGAAGGTGGATCTTGATGTTCTGGCTGACAAGCACAGGCGATCCTTAGTAGGATACTTTTACAAGGGGCGTTCATCCATGGAAACCATTCGTCGATCCTTTGAGATTATAGGCTATAAAGGAAACTTTCACTTGGGATTACTGGAGTCTAAACATATTCTTATCAGGTTTGATTTGGAGGAAGACTATATAAGATGTTGGAACCGTCAAAAATGGGATATCTTTGGTAATTTAATGAGAGTTACCAAATGGTCTCCAGATTTTAAGCCAAACGTGGAATCCCCTGTGGTTCCAGTTTGGTTAGCATTTGAAGGTCTGCCTATTCATTTACATGACAAAAGGGTTATGTTTCTTATTGCTGGATTAATAGGAAAGCCCTTAAAGTTAGATATTGCTACCACCACTCTAGCGAGACCCTCTGTTGGATGGCTGGACTCGGGCCGGTTCGGGCCCGGTTCGGGCCTGGGCCCGGCCGGGCCTCGGGCCAGAAAACTAGGGCCCGGGCCCGAACCGCCGGTGGGCGGTTCCGGTTCCGGTTCCGGGCCAAACCGGGCCGGGCCGGGCCGGGCCGAACCGGCCCACTTAATTTTTTTTTTTTTTTTTGGTCTCCTATTTAATCCCCTACCCCTCCCCCTCAACCCCAAACCATCCCAAACCACCTCAAATGGCCCAAAATACCTAATCCAACCTAAAACTTAAAAAAATTTCAAAAAAAAAAAAAAAAAAATTAAAATCCGGCCCGGACCGGGCCCGAACCGGCCGGGCCGGTTCACCAAAACCTGGGCCCGGGCCCGAACCGCCCAGCAGCCGGGCCGGGCCGAACCGAACCGGTGGACCCACCGGGCCCCGGGCCGGGCCGGGCCTAACAGTAACCGGGCCGGGCCGGTTCCGGGCCGGGCCGCCCGGCCCGAGTCCAGCACTATCTGTTGCTAGAGTATGTGTTGAATTAGATTTAACTAAGCCTATGCCGAATAAGATTTGGATTCAAACTGGTGACTCAGGTTTCACACAGAATGTTATTTATGAAAATAGGCCTTTCTACTGTTTGTCTTGCTTTCACTTAGGACATGAGGAGAGGAAGTGTCCAAAGAAGGAGGGGCATGTTGCTAATCATATGGGTGACAAGCAGGATAGGGCCCATCCAAATCCTATGTTTGGGGGTGTTCTTAAAGCTGCAGATAATGCTGGGTCTAAATGGATCCCAAAGCAAACAAAGCCCAACAACTTAACTATTACACAAGGAAACAAAGGATCTGAAGCTACTACAATGGAAGCAAATATTGACAAGGGGAAGGCTATTGTTGTTTTTCAGGATCAACCATCAACATCTAAGCCCTCCACATCTAATCCATCAACAATCCAAATTTCTTCCAAGCCTCAGGAGGACATTTATGTTTTGGATGAGACAGATACAGAGGAAGTGTTTCATGAACCACCACCTGCAATTCAAACAAATGAAGAAGCACATAAGAAAAAGGAGCATCTTAAACACATGCTTAAAGGTAACATTCCAGGTATTACAGTATCTACAGCTGAAGATATTCAATTTATAAAGGATGACCTCTGCATTCAGAATATGGAGAAAACATCATATTTTGACCAGGAAATTGCCTCCAAGGAGTATGGATCAGACTCAGAGCCATCCAACAAACAGGAAACCAAAGAGGAGTGGTTAGAGGCTATGCCTATGATTAATAATAAAATACAGGCTTTATTGCAAACAAGGAAAAGGAGGGAAGATTCAGAATTAATTGCAGCACTTAACCAGCCTGATTTACCACAGCAAGACTTTGAAATGGAAGAAGAGCCATTCATAAAAGTGGGTAGAAAGAGGAGTAAAAAGAAAGTAGTACCAGAAACCCCAAATGTGTTAACAAGGTATGCTGCCAGAAGGCAATCTCAAGCTTTACCTAAAACCTTACCATGAATGTAATATGGAATGTTAGGGGCTTGGCTGCCTCCGGGCCAAGGCTTACTAAATTGATTAACTATTGGAGGGTTCATGTTCTTGTTGTTATTGAGCCTATGGTGGATTCTAGTAATGCTGATTCTTTCAAAGTGAATTTTGGTTTTTCTAATGTTC